CCAGGAAAGCAGTATCTATTGAAAGATGATGGAATGATTGAGTGGCTAGCCAGAGCCTGCTGGCAAAAATCCCAACAGTTACTCATTTCAAGAATTTCTTCCCTGTAACCTGGCAGAAATGTAACATGGCTGCATCCCAGGAAATGTGGTGAGGTGTGCTCAGAGGAACCATAATCAAGCTGAGAGGCAGTGCTGCAGGCTTCAGCAGGGACAAAAACTGTCACATGAAAAGGTGCCGAGTACTGTTCAGATCTGTTAGAGAATGGTTTCCATTTGGATTAGATTTAGTAGACGTACCTGGTACAAGGTGAAGTCATCAGAATGACAGCACTAGAGCTTGGTCAGCTTTCCCAAGAGCAGATATATTCTAGGTACTCGTGGAAAAAGTGTATGTAATGAACATACTAAAGACAGTCCAATTCTTCCAGATCTTCTGAAGTAGTATTGTGTCTCATTAACAGTTATGGCATGTCACAAACAATTCTGTGTCTTGCATGACATCTGGAGGACAAAATATTTGAGGAGTTCCTTATGATTATTTGAGATTTCCCTGCTAAATTGGTCTACTAGAATGTCCTGAAAACCTAAAGTTACACAAAGGGAGTATCAGAGGAATATTGCTGGTCCAGAGAATATCTTCACTTGCTTGAGTCTCCTTGTAAGTATTCTCAGAACTTCATACTGTATTCTGGTATGTCATCTGTCTCCTAACCATAAGTGGGACCACAGACATCTGCCACTAACAGAATTATCTGTATCTTCATCTTCAACTCAACTGACTTGTCTTTGGCTATTGAAGAAGAGCATCCAGAGAACTACAGCCTGCAGTTCAGACCCTGTAAAGATCTAGTTCAGAAAGAAGAACAGAAGGGCAGTGAAGGCCCACCTCAATTTCTTATGTCCCGGCACACAAGGACAGCCTTGGCCAATAAGGGCTGTCTTTTCAGCAGAAGTAAAATCTGTGTAGAAAATACATTGGTTGAAAAACCCACGTGTGTATATGAATTGTAGAAACAGTATTATTTAATAGTTCATATAGGAAACAAGTATACTATTCCTTCTTATATATTCTTACAATGAGGATATGTGCCAACATCTGGAGATAGTATGTGGGAAATTATATAGATATATATGTATATCTATATGGAGTGTCTAGCCAGGGTTTCTTTGCAGTTTTCTAGAATGCTCTCTTATGGCCACTTGAATATGTAATAGTGCTTGAAGAGGGGATGGTACACAATTCTCAGTAAATACCCCAGTTATTGTGCAGTTTCAGATCTTTTTTATTCATGGTTGATGTTAATGTGTTACTCTGAACCCTGGATATCCTCCATCCTACTTTGCTGCAGAGTCCCAGGCAAAGCTTATTGTTCTGCTCTGTCAATTCTTGGTTTTGTTTCTCTGCAGGGAGCTATAGGCATGGAGACCAGATGCAGCTGGGGCTCATCTCTGAGGAGCAGGTACACAGCAAAGCTCCACTGCAGATGGGTCTTCTTGCTATGCCCCTGGTGACCCACACAGAGCAGAAGTGCAGCAGTCACCTGCTTCTTTCTCCAGCAGCCTCTTTTGCCTTCCTGTGTTGTCTGTTTTGCCTTCCTGTGTTTAGCTGACAGGAAGGAAACCCTTCTCTGACTCCTCCTGGCCAGATGATGTCACTTCTGTGTTTAACTGGGCAGAGTAGCAGCTGGAAGCCAACTGTGTCCCAGGAGCGTGCTCTCTGAAACGCCATCCCCACAGCCTGCCCCTGGGGTGATGCCCTCTACATAATTTTACCACCCTCTCTGTCTTAGAAACTTACGAGGACGTTGTTTGTATTCTGTTTGTCTTTCTCAGTGTTGAGGTGGCCTCTGTGTGTGGTTATTTATTGATCAGTGAGGCTCGAATGAATACTTACTAGGAGGCAACTTCAGCCTAAAGGTGCTGAATTTTCAAAACAGCTAAATTGCTTGTTTCTTCCTTTTTAACTTGAGGAGCTCATCTTAATACATTTGCCTTGCTTCAGAGTCATTGTAGATTAAGAGACAATTTGAATTATAATCCTGATCCAAATACTACTGCTTCTGTGACTTTGGGCATGCCACTTAACCCCTCTGAGCTTTATTTTCCCTATTATCTGAGACTAATGGTATTTTACCTGTCTCAGACCACAAGGGAGCTATGAGGCTTAATTAATGTTTGCAAACTGGGTTGTTGCATAGCATAATTAAATAGCATTTCCAAAGTTTAAAGAAATAGAAAGTATTAAGACCCATCAGCAGTAAAGATGAGACAAGGAGTGAGAATGTCCTGATTCCCAGGACAGTGCTTAATGCTCTCAACCATATGGCTTTGAAGGGAAAAAACAGCACCAAATTGTCTTCAATAACATTTTTCAAAGTTCAAAAATGTGAAATTTAAAGCAAAGGTGGCTATTCACAGCTTTAAAGAACATACAAACAACAATATTGTTTTGATTCTTGTATAATAATTTCCTTCTCATTTAGTTGCATGAAACTGTTCCACATTTTTAGATGTTATTGAGCTTCCAGCCAAGAGACTTCTGTTAAAAACAATCTTTCATAGCCTCAAGTCTACTCAGTTATAAAATTTTCAATAAGCAACATTTATTTTTCCCCTTTAAAATGTAAAGATTCTCTTCCAATTCAATTTATAGTGTTCAAGCTGCAGTTGTCTTAGACAAAGTAGAAATGAAGTATCCAACAGTTTCACAGGGTCAGAGCTTTTAGATATCCCACGCCCTATATATGCCTAGCTTATAATTCCTCCATAATACTCCAGAGCTCTTTTAGCTATGAAGTGGAAACATATCACAAGAGACACTGTAGAACTGTACCTTATGTTAGATTAATGTGAAAGTACGTACTGATTAAGTAAAAGTATGGTTGGATGAAGAGTGCTATTTTGCTCATTCAACAGTGTTCATGTTGTGAATCTGAAAAAGGCAAATACAGCAAAAGTTTAGCCATGTGTTTTTTCATTCCTTCTTTTTCATTAAAGGTGGTAGGATTCTTTTTAGTTTAAAGCAGCAGGATGTTCAGTTAAAGTTTTCTATTCAAAACAGAAAGGAAAAGCCATTATAAGCAGTAATGTCATTTAATTCTCTTCTATTTTTATGTATATTGAAATATGAGGAAAATGTTACAGGGAAATAAATGGATTTTGTTTCTTGAAATAATAACTTTTTTTTGGATGTATGCATAAAAAAGACTAAGAAGTTACTAAAAATGACATATTTATTAGTATATCACAATTCTGTGGTGATAACAGTCCTTAAAAATAATTCAAATAGTTCAAATCCTAAGGGAACTAATTTATTTGAAGTAAAGTCTCCTAGAAAAAGTTGTATCTGAAAGGTTCAGATGGGACCTTGCTATTTAGACCGTACATATCAGAGAAGAGGCTGCATATAATCACGATGGCTACTATAGATAATAGGACAGTTCAAAGTCCAGGATATGGAGATGCATGTCAGGATCTATTGGTACATTATAGAGAGTCCTTAGAGAATGACCACAGCACAAGAAATGAAGAATTTATGTTAACTATCATCCAGTCCTAGTAATGCATGATTGTGTTTGCTTCTCTCCTAGCCCTTTTACTTTTTTTCCCTGCAGATTGACATAATGGACTCTGGATAGCTTTCCAGTTCTGCATAACTGAGATGAATAATTTCTATCACAAACAGAAGTCTCATGAAGCAAAATGATAATGGCCACGCCAACCAATAGTCTGCCACTTTCTCTCAGCAAAAACTGCTTGTTAAGTCTGACCCATCTCAGTCTCATGGTTAATGCATCAGTAAGAGATAAGTCTGAATAAATTGCAGATAACTCTGGGTGCCCACCAATGAACTTGAAAAGATGACCGACTAAAATTTTCAACTATGACAAAGGTTAACTTAGGACAGAAAAGGGGACAGAAGAAAGGCAACTCCAAATAGTATTTCCATCACCTTCATTCTTCAGAATTAAGAGCCATAGCAAAGTAAAGGTGGTGGTAAGGGTCAGACACCATTAGCAAAGGTGCTGCCTCTTTGTGCTATCCCAGCAGGATTGGGCTATTGTATTTTTCTTTGCTTCTGTGGACCCTTGGTGTTGTTTGCTTCTGCAACACAGGTACAATAGTTTATCCTTTAGCCTCCTGCCTACTTGCAGTCTTTTTTTTCTGAGCGTATTTCCAGACAGAGGCTCTGGGCAGGTTTCTGATATCAGTGCATTGGAAGTTGAGACCTGACCATCCGTGTCATGGTAAACCGTAATACCTCAAATGTCTCAGTTAAAAGATTTTATAAGTCCAGGCTAAACTTCTTATAGGAACTCACAGTTATACAATATCATTGAAAATATAATTGTCTCTGTTAGGAATAGGGAATTTGTTAAACATTATTTTGCATAATTGCGCTTCTCTTCCTCACCAAATCTAGACAAAAAAAAGGCAGATAAAAATACTTCTGTCTCTTGCTACTTCGAGAGGCAATTAGTACCTAATAAGCCTTCCTACAAAGAGGAAATATTACTTTTAGGTTTGTTGATGAGCAAGCAGTGATTGGAGGCAGGCAGGACCAAAACCGGGACCTCAAAGCAGTCAAAAAGACAGCAGTTATCTGCAGCAGCTGAAGATTGGGGGTTGTGGGGGAGTGGCACTTAGCAATCTAGGCAGAAATTTGCTTTACACCCCCTAATTCAGACTGAGCTGCAAGTAAATAAGATATTTAGGAAAGAAGGTGAATGTCCTGGACTAGAGTCACCTCAGCCTGGGGAACGCTACTGTCAGTGCTCTCCCAAGTGAGAAGGTGAATAATCACTAAACATGCATGGTCTTGAAGAGAAAAGTGAGGAAATACTCTGCCAGCTCACTGGAATCTCTGCTACCCTAGTCTTGGAATTTCTTCTACAGCTTTTACCACAGGTGGCAATGAAAATGAATTTTGAAAAGATCAGATTTTTCAGATTGCAACTCAGGTAATGTTCATACGACCATGCAAGAGTACTTCACTTGTACCATGTGTTGGAGTCTGCCACAGCAAGATGAAAGATGCAGCTGTGCAACACATCTTCCTGGTCCGTACACTGGACAGCTGCACACAGCAATAGGGACTACCCACTGCATGCTGAAGTTTTACGTTCCTAAAAAGTCCCCACCATCAAGGGAGGCTATCACTTTGTAAGGACAAGTGAAGGCAGCATGTGACAAAGCAGATGCAAACTATTTGTCCTTGTGGAGACTCTGCCTTTGTTCCCCTTCATCTTGCAGTTTCTCTTAATCTAAACTAAAAGCCTTTCAGCTTGCATATGTGACTCTCCTCAGGACTGAAACAATGTGTGTATGTGGGCTGAAAAGGAGACGAGATAGATGAGGTAAGAAAAATGCCAAAGTGTTTAAAAATGCTAAAACCTGGAATGTATTCCCAGAATTTTTTGTCACATCTAGTGGAAGATTTGTTAACAGTGTATTTATATTTATACATGCATACATACATACATACATAAACATCTAGGCTGTATGTATTGATTCAATAATTACTTAGAAAAGTAATTGGCTCCTAGACCTGCCAGATCAGTTAAAATAAAAAAAAAAGAAAAAGAAAAAGAAAGAAAAAGAAAAAGAAAAAGAAAAAGAAAAAGAAAAAGAAAAAGAAAAAGAAAAAGAAAAAGAAAAAGAAAAAGAAAAAGAAAAAGAAAAAGAAAAAGAAAAAGAAAAAGAAAAAGAAAAAAACAACCCACCTCTAGAAAAATGACTGAACATAGATCTAAGACAACACCAACAAATTCTCATTTCACTGGGATTTTATTTCATTCTTGTAGGCTTAATATTTCACTGCATGAACAAAAAATATCACATGGAAAGGACTTCAGGCTAGCTACTTCCAAAGAGATTCAACCTTCTAAGTACTATCAATATCATTCCTATACCCACATGGTTAGCACTTTCTAATACATTCGCTGAAAACCATTAATAAAGCAACATTTTTAGTCTAGTTCTTAACCATGTGTCGCACTGAAATAAGTTCATGTAAATCTGTGAACTGCACCACAATGATCAAATTAACAGTCATTTCAGGAAAAATGCCCCTCAGGCTGAAAAATAATTAGTAGTCTCTCACTCTATCTTTTCCTACTAATAAAAGTCATGCTATTATTGTTGACTGTGCTAATAAAACACCTTCCATGACCCTGAGGTAGCTCGATGTAAAATATAAGGACTATTCCATTGTGCAGATGTACACATTTTATCGAATATTTCTGTTTAGTTTCTCATCTAGTAATGACATTATTCCACAAGAACTTTAGTCAGAATGACATAGCACACAGGCCCTCTTCTTTCTGAGCAATTCATCTTGCTGAAGAAACCCCCAAATTTTAAAAACTCTACAGCCTTTCGGTTTAAATTCTGAGAGTGTAATGATTTTTGCATAGTGAAATAATGCAAGGATGCTTTTTTCACTTTGATGACCACTCAGAACAGAATATTCATTTTAATAAGTATATTCTTGCTTCACAGTTTTCAGAGTGACTTAGACATTCCACACAGTTTTTCCCCAGTCTCAAAACCAATTTACCCTGTGACATATTGTCAAAGCCACCTATTCAAGTATTTACTTTAATATTATCTGTGCCTACATTTAGTCCTCCAACAGAGTGGCTGATGAGCACTACACAAGAGAAAGTGAACACACGGTGAACAAGCTACCCACAGTCATTCTCTTGTCCTGCCACAACTGTGGTATAGCTTTCCTATCTGTAAAGGTGTAGAGGGAAACATCTCACATCAGCTGAATGGCAAATATGTGCCCAGCAGTAGAGCAACATTAGTTTCTTCCTTTATGCAGTAGTGGATTTGTGGGTCCACGTCCCAGATGTTATTTCTGTTCACTTTAACTGGATGTGGAAACTATATAAACACTGAGATAGGGGGAGAGGGCTTGATTGAGTTTTAGGCTCATGAATAATTGCAAACATTTGGGATTAATTTACAGTAGCAAGCAAATAACAAGAGCTTTCCAAAATGGCTCCCAAGAGCACTTCCAATGAAAGTACTCCCACTAATTTGCACTAATATGAAAGTCAGAATGAGGTTCTTCTGTAAACATATTTCTGAAAGCACTTTGTGAGTAAGTGATCAGGAGTGACAGCACATACTGGGGGGTAAATAAATCGGCTGACAGCCTAGAAATACATACCGAAGGCAGCCAACAGAGTGTTGCCAGTTTTGGCAGGATTTAGAGCAGACCTTTACTCCCTTAGGATGCTGCCAGGTCTGCCTGTTGTCTCTATGTGTGTCTGTGTGCAGATGCATGCATGTGCACGCATGTGCACGCATTTGAGAATGTACAGCCATGTCCACAAGATTCAGCCATAACTGCTATCCTACACAAGGCTGTGAGTCAGCAGAGCAGTTTATTCAGACTCTTAATGACCTATGAATTTCCCTTTTGAACGAATGAGTCTAACACTGAGATCAAAGTTACATGCTTCCAGGAGGACATGCTACATTTGAGTCTGCTGTATCATCGACCTGTGTATGTAAGCACTCTGCTTTCCTCTGTATACATTCTCCTCTAGGATCCTAGAAACTTGGATGATCTACCCTGCCCTCAGCTTCTGCATATGAATATGAAAAATAATTTTCTTACTTACATCTTTGAATTGTTGTAATGAAGCAATTTCTGAGGGAAAAAAAATCAGCAGTTTTCCAAATTCTTATTATTTATGGAAACTCTTAAAGAATACATAAAATCCTCATATTTTAGAGATTTATATTTTATACAATCATATCTATTTAGTATTGTCATGTGACAGAGGATAAAAGGATTGCAAGCAGGTAGCAGGAACTAGATAGATTTTTTTAGTATTTTTCTAATGTAACCTTGCATAAGAATCAAATCCTGTCCAAATTACATCTGTGATACGTGCATGCCATAATATGCCAACATAATGGAAAATGGACTGATCTCTTTCTCTCTCCTATACAGGAGGATATGTTGTAAAAAAAAAAGGCTAATATATTACCAAACCCTTTTTTTCTCTCTGAGATTACGCTCTTAGACCAAGAACTCACCCATAGACCTTCTATTGACAGGAAAGTTTCTGGGGCTACTGCAGCTCTGTCCCTCAGAAATGACAGCATCAGATATTCAGAAGTCCAGGAGAATTCATTTTTCTCTCTCATAGCCTCTCACATCTTGTGTTTTGGCATTACTTGGCCTAATTGTTCAGAGTTAGACCTTCAGAATGAGAAGAAATACACATGTTCTTTGGCTAAAGCTAAGAATGCTTCAGGCTCTGTTCCAGAAGTAGGATTGAAATTTAATTTCCATCTTTCTAGCATTATCAGAAAACAAATGTTAGTAAACAGCGGGTAGTGGGTAAATAAGGAGGGAGGGAGGTCAACGACAACATCAATTTAGGCTAAATCTTGCTAAAAAATTAAAATGGTACAAGTGAAAAAAAATATGAATTTCATGAAAGGAGTGGATCAAATTAATTTCCACATCCAGGTTTTGTATCTTCCATAATGGGAGAGGATCCTGCAATAACCTGTAATTTCCTTTTTGTTTTCTTTTTTTTGTTTTGTTTTGTTTTACCCCCAATAGCTTACATACTCTACTTTGTCACATCCGTATGAGCCTGGGCCACCTGCTCTAAGGACTCTTTAACTTTGTGAAAGTTTAGCACAGACCCCCTATTTGAATCTCACCAGGGAAAACTGGTGACAACAGATTAATGGAGATGTTGCAATGAAAGAAATTATGCTGAGTCCCTAATTTTGGGGGAATTCCAGCTGGACCTGTCAATTCCAAGTAGCCACTGATCTCTGGCTTTGAATAAAACAAAAGAGAGAACTGCAGTTATTTTTCTCTAACTCCCAGAGCTCACTCTATTGAAATACATATACGCAAAATCTTCCTGCTGTGACAAACAGAGCTCTCATGCAGGTGTGGACTCAAACAGGTATTGCTAATCAATGCAGTTTCTCTGCAATCAGTGACCCTATACCAATTTTCACTGGAATTCTGCTTCATATTTAGATGTTCCTTATTGGTGGCTGATTTGTAAACTGAAGGACTAACCTGTCTTGCCCATGCTTCACACTTATACTTTGCTGTACAACAGAATTCTGAGGCTTTTTAAACATCCAAACTTCAGATGCACTTCAGATATCCGCCAGAACCACAGCTGCATTTTGCCTTTGGTTTACCACAGACTCCAGCAAATAATTAAGATCAATTGCTGGGGATAAGGACAGACTCAACTCATAAAATGTTAATTACAAAGGATATATTAGTGAATTTCTGTACCATTTACGTGTTGGGCACCTCTGAACTTGTTCATGTATTTCTCTGTGTAGTATGGACTTTTCACTTGATTGCCATATGAAGCAAGATGTTTTAAATGAAAATGTTACACAGGCATGAAAGAAAAGAGGTGCAACAGCTAGTACAGTTCAGCTAACAGGTCACCTACACAAGCTGGATCTGCTCTAACCATGCAGGGTGGATTCATTTGACCAGTGCTGACATAGCAGGTAAACTGACTTCACCACTGACCTTTCAAAATGACAGGAGTGAGTTTTTCACTTTAAAATAACATTTACAGTGCACCAAATACACAACATATTTCTTTCAATATAAATGTATGTTGGGCAAATACCTTGGACTTAGATCCCTTTGGATATAAAGGCAAGAAGAAATTAAAAATCAGACCAAGTTGGATGGGGCTTTGAGCAGCCTGGCCTAGTGGAAAGTGTCCCTGCATGGCAGGGGATCTGGAACTAGATGATCTTTAAGGTCCCTTTGAACGTGAATCATTCCATGATTCTATAAGAAAAATCATGACTATATCACTTGAAGGCAGAAATTAACATTATGGTTCATCTTAAGCAAATTAAGATATTCAAAAACTGCTTTCTACTCTGTCACAGATAATATTTCAGAGCCAACAACAGTGAGTGAGACAACAGTAAGTGAGGCAAGGTATATGTTGCTGAACTCATGTCTTATTCTGTACTCACTTGAAGTTTTGTAACAGCTTTAGAATACTTAATAACTTGCAACTTACTAGTTTAGTCCTATTGAGAGCAGTGGTACTAGCTGTAGACTTAGCAACTTTCAAGAAAACCAAGTTGGATCACTACCAACAAGCATGGCCCTGTAACAGTACACTGAATTGATTCTCCCACAAAGCAGATCATCCATTTTCACAACAGCTTGATAGATGCTGGTTTTTTGATTAAGTAGGAGAGTGTGAAGAACACTGCCTACGACAAGGCTGTTGGGACAAACCTCAAAAGTTAATATTCATAAGAGTAGGGAGTGCATTTGAATAGTTGGGTCTCATTTCTCTGGTCAAACCAACTACCTAAGAGTTTGAAGTCACTCTGATTTCCTCTTTTCCCAATGTCCTGTGTAGACATTTTGATTTGAAGCGTTCGATTATAGAGCTGTCTTATCCGAAGCCACAGATACGGTGCATACAGTGTGCTGACCTGTGTGGACAGTCAATGATTAAAAGAGAATAAATGGGGAAATCTTGGTTTTGAAATGAGATCACTGGGCAGAAGGAAGACAATCTTAACAAGTCACTATGTATCAGCAAGGAACTAGAATCTAAGATGTAGAGAATTATTTTTAGGACAAGGGAACTAAAAGTACATCAGGATTTGGGGATAAGAGTTTCTCAACACTGTTCATTGATGAGAGAAGAGACTAATCAATCAC